ACACACACACACACACACACACACACCCTAAGAAAAATCAACCATAACAAAATAAAGTCTGTCAATACCCAGTGCTGGTGAGGTGGTGGGGAAACGGAGACCTGGGCACACAGCTGTGAATGAAGAGGGACTTGGTCGTGCCAGGGAGCCTTGGTGGTGCAGTGTGTGAGGGCTTGTGGGTTTGCCCCCCCCCCAGTACTCCACAGTCATCTCCTGGAAAGATTTACAGCCTCAGAAACCCAAAGAGCCTCACCATGATTTGGGGTTGACTTGATGGCATTGAGTTTGCTTTGGGTAATTTTTAGGGGGACAGGGGAGCTAATAACACCCAAGAGGTCCTTGGCCACAGTGATTGGACCCCACTAGCAGCTCCTCAGAAGAAAGGCTATAGGACCCCATAAGGATCAACCCCAAACCATTGTTGTCAAGTAGATTCCAACTTGGAAAAATGTTACAGCGGCAAAGCCTCAGTGTTCACCGGGTGTTCTGAGGTGCAGCCGCAGGCAGCACCTAACAACAGAACTTCCACGTGGGGTCTCCAAGGCTCCACCTCTTCACAGAAACTTACCACCGCCACATCCTCCTCCCACAGAGCAGCTGCTGGCTTCAAACCACGCACCTCGCCTTCAACAAGCAAGGGTTTAACCACTATCCCACCAGGTTGCTTCCCTAAAGACCAGGGCCCAGGAAAGCCAGCAGGGCAGCTCTGCTGTGTCCTCTGGGCTCAGTGCTGATCGCCAGTGTCCAACGAGTGCTTGAACCAGTATGTAGAGAAACGTCCTGGACCAGCACGAGGAGCCAGGAAGGAGGGCGAAAGCCATCCCGCCCGTGGGTCTGCTCTGGGGAGGATATTCGGGCCCAGGGCCCAGGGTGTCCGTTTGTTTCGACTCTGGGGGTCTGGTAGGGGCTGGTAACCCAATTCGGGGACGGGGCAGAGTAGAAGGACGCCAATGGCGGCTCTACGAAGCCTCCTCCTGATGGGGGGGGAACCTCTGTGGCCCCCTTCGCAGTTCTCCGCAGTCGCTGCCTCTTCCTCTAGCTGGGATCCCGGTGCCACGGCCCCTCCCACGCACCACCTCTCGGACTCCAGGACAGAAGGGGGGCAGGCCACACCTCCAGAGGTCCAGGAGATGCTGGTAACCAAACCCAAGAGTGTTGATCCAAGAATCCTACCTAAGGGGGGAGGGGAAGGACGGAGGAACTCCCCAGGGGCGGCCCGCTGGCCTCCCCAAGGTGCCATCTCTAGTGCCACCTAGCTAGGGGGCCACCTGTAGGAGGGGACTCAGCGAAGGGACAGACACCCGACTTCACTTCTCAACGCATGCGTGTGCAGGACTTAAGCGCCCGGCTTAATTTGGGGAGGGGCACACCTCCACAAATGTTTCTTAGGCGAGCCTGCCTCCCACACTCAGGGTCTCCTGCGTCCCAAGGCGGAGCAAGGACCCAAGAACCACCTGTGGTTTGCAGCATCTCCGTCCAGTCGCGCGGTGATGCGAACAGGAGTCAGGCAGGGGGTGCAAAGTGCAGGGGATGCGGGAAGGCTGGGCGCCCACGCAGCAGGGGCTCCCTGCCCCCTCTCCCCGGGTTCGTTCTGCAAAGCATCGCCTCCTCGCTCCCGGAGGGGGCTGACTGAGCTCTGGGTGCCTCCCCATTACGCAGTTCCTGTCTCTTTAAATTCCAATCCCAGGGATGGGGGACTGGGGCGGCCCGGCTGGACCCCTATTCCCAGGCTGCGGGGTGAAAAGGGGCGCTGGCTCCCAGGGGTCCCCGCAAAGCCCACGCGCCCCAGGCTCGGCCCGGCCGCGCCCCTCTCCAGACTGCCAGCGCGCCATGGGGGCCGGCGCGGAGGCGCGCGCGCGGGGTG